GGTACCATCTATCGCAGAGAGGGTACTACGGAAAGGTCATGTTCGATCATGACAAGGGCACTTTGCAGCTCAAGGTCCAAACCGACGATCAAGCGGCCACTCAAGGCGTCAGTCGCGACAAGGACCCTCGCTCACTTAGCGGTGGCGAAAAGTCGTTTTCGACCATCTGCTTGCTCTTGTCCCTGTGGGAGTCTATTGGCTGCCCGCTTAGATGTCTCGACGAGTTTGATGTCTTTATGGACGCAGTCAACAGACGTATTAGTATGAAGATGATGGTGCGTTATGTCTAATGTCTCTTGGATCCTACTCACAACCTGGTTAGATCGACGTTGCTAACCAGTCCGACAAGAAGCAGTACGTACTCATCACCCCGCAGGACATGACGAATGTAACGCTTGGGCCGACTGTGCGTGTCCATCGTATGACGGACCCCGAACGTGGGCAGGGGGTGCTTGGATTCTCGGGCTGAGTGAGCTGGGACGCGTACTATAATCCATGTCCTAATGCGTACAATATATGCCTTGATTATGCTATGACGTAACGCGACGCGCCTGTCTTCTACGTCGATGGCCTCCGTCCTTCCTTGGGGCACCATGCGAGTCGCCGTCCTCCCTCTCACTCGCGCTCCACGCATAGTAACGTACTATCATTTCGCCATCGTCCCTCCGCCAACACCACTTGCGGCACAAGACACGTCAAGGTGGCATCCACAGAATCTGGTCAAGCGGGTCTCCGGCAAAGTCAACTCTACATGGGTATCTTGGGGCGAGGCGAAACCAGACTCCTGGCGGGTGCGAATGGAGTCACTTGGTGTTGCCGGGTCGAAATAAATTGATACACAGTTCCGAATCTTCGATTTTGGCGAACGATACTTCGACAAAATCGACTTTGAGGAAGGTCTGCTGAAGAAGATCGACGTGAAGACGGCTCCGCCAGCGAAGATGCCAGATAATTTGGCTGGAGAAGAGGCGGCGGCATGGAGTAGACTCACGGTTCGTTGCCTCACGGCCCGAGATTCGCGTCTTTAATTTCGTGTCAAGGTCCCTCTGGTATACCCACCCAGCGTCTCCTCGGGACCTGGTGCTCTCTCTGAGCTGCGTACGCTGCTCCAGAAGCGCATTCCGTTGCACAATCGGGGCTTCTACACCTATGCCATCATTGCGCCCCTTACTGCGCCCTTTATGTTGATACGTGCGTCGGTCCCTGCTTTGCCTACGCATGGACGTGACCCATCCCAGCTGTAATACCCAACCTGCCCTTCTTTTTCTGCGCCTGGCGCGCATGGTCACATTACCAAGGTGAATTGTGCGTTTCCCAAATATACATCAGTCTGAAGCACCTCAGCCCTCCGTGGGGCGCGGCACCTTGACGAGCTGTTACAGAACGGAAAGATTGTCCCCGAGCCAGATGCGGCCCTGGATGTGGTGTATGCTGCGGACGCGAAGGATGAGACGAAACCAGCAGCCGTCATCGTTACACGCGACTCCCTTGGGCAAGGAATGCGCCTACTCGACGTGCGACCGGACGAGGCAAAGGATATGCTGCGCGCCTACGAGCAGGCTGTGAACCGCGTTGGGTAGTCAAGACTGGGATAGACTCATACTTGTACGGAAACATGAACATTATATTTGATCCACGCTCACGATTCAACAGGTACATAGCTTGTAACGTAGATGCAAACTCCGCGGCCATTTTGTACGCCAAACATTCTCTATCCTCTGCGGTCGGCGAGGAATTCATGGAGACCGTCCGCCCGCGGAATCGGTGCTAAAGAAGCTCAAAAAGGTACGTTGTTATTACCCTATTACCTAAATGGCGTGCAGGCCTTGCTGCTCGGCGTGTCGCGGACGTGCGTCGAGGGGGGCAATCGCACTGAGAAAGAAGTATGCATGAAAGGAGGATTGGCCAGGTATAGGACAGACAGAATGCCAGAGTGTGGTGGAGCGCCAAAAAATTGAGGTATGTGTCAATGTGGCGGCGAAAGTTCCATTCGTTCCTTTGGGCCTAACATTTTTTATTCAATCCAGACGAGTCCATCGAGGCGACGGAGTCGGAATCGGGAGCAGCGATGGAGGAGGTAGAGCGCGAGAAGGGTTGTTGGGCTGACAGGTATGTGGAGAGGTCCCTGTGCGAGCGGTGGCTGGCTGGAGATGAAGGAGCTAAAACAAGGTTGTTTGGTGGCGGTAGGCCGGCGGGGGTTTGCCGACGAGTTCGCTGGGCCTCGGGAATGTGGTTGCCAGATTGGGCCCAGCCTTTAGTAAAAAGGAACCACCTGCGTCGCCCGAAGATGCTCAATGGCTCTTTGCACTGGCGTCTACACCCTTCCCGTTGAGCTACTTTCTCGTGTCTTTGTCTTGGGCGCCGAGGAGCAGCACACCGACTCGCCATTTCTCTTGAGGCCGGACGAGGATACCGTGCTTGCTACCTCTGCTGACTTTCAGCTACTCGTTTCGCATGTCTGTCGCCATTGGCGCCACGTTGCCTTGCACATTTCGTGTCTCTGGACTTGCTTGCATTTTCGGGAGCCTGCACACATCGAACGGGCCGAGGCTTTTTTGTCCAGGACAACGACAAAGTACGTTGCCCGATGTTTCTGTCGGTCTTGTTCACAGGAATCATCCAGTCATTCACTCGACATTCTCGTCGACACCGTGTCCCCAGATGACCATATACCGGGCGTTACTCTTTGTAGAGAGGAGATGCGCACCATCTTTGCGCTCATAACCCCTCACGTTGGTCGTTGGCGAGCGTTCCACCTCAAAGTACGTTCGGATGAATGCAAGTTGATAGCCAGAGAAAATCTGTCCTCGTGCGGGCCCGCTCCTCGCCTGGAAACCCTCCAGCTGTATCACTTTGAGGACTACCGGACCGCACAAAACCTCTATATCGCGACATACCGGCAACCCGTCGTCATCTTTGACAACGACCTCCCTTCGCTCAAGAACGTGTCGCTCATTGGTGTCAACCTCCCATGGAAAGCGCCGTTCCTCCAGCATCTCCATGCGCTCGAGCTTGCGCTGCATCCAGATAACATCCGACCTCCGTTCGACGCCTGGGACACCATTCTCCGTCGTTCACCCCACCTTCGCCAGCTGCGGCTGCATTACTCGGGACCCAAAGCCGCGGACGAACTCGATAGCAAAATCTGCGTGCCAGAACTGCTCGAGTTGCATCTGACGGACCTCGACCCAGATCACCTCGCGCGCTTGTTACGCACGCTCGAGCTTCCGCGGCTCGCCACTCTTTCGCTCGACCTGCCAGAGCAGGATTTCACCAACGTGGTGGAGATTTTTGCGACTACGCCGTCGCTGCCCATCGCTTCCCTACACACACTCCGTATCACTGCGCTCGAGTGCGCTCCCGCAGCTCTCACAGCCCTTCTCCGGGCTTTGGTCGGTCTTTCCGTCCTTGAACTCGACTTTGCTCGAGTCAGGGATCCCAATGCGATATGTAACGCGATGCTGGAAACCATCGAGGTTCATTCATGTGACTGCACGGAGAGCAGACGCGTTCCGGTTCTCCCTCGGCTAAAGGAGGCACGCCTATTTGGGCTTGGCGGCGAGCGGATCCGCAGGTTGATTGTGTTCCGTGAACGATTCGCGGCGGTAGAAGGATGTGGATGTGGATGCGCGAGCGAAGAGCTTGCGGTGACACCGTTGTTCACTGTTCGCGGTCGGGGTGGGAAAGATTCAATTCTTGATCAGCTGGTTAGGGAGGGGCGGGTCGTTTGCGAGGAAGATGAGGGCGACGCCGAAGGGGATGAAGAGAGCGAGGAGGAAGAGTAGGCGTACTAATGGACATTTGTTACATATGTATCTATCTATTGTACATACTTTATTTTGATATTGGAAGGAATGCTATTCGAGATGCTCTTGAATCCACGCCAGAGAGGTATAGAATGCCCCCTTTTTGGCGGCAACCTGGGCTGGATTATTTGGGTCTGCGCCGACCTGTGTGATAGTTAGCCTCGAACGTCGGGCAACCGAGCGACCCACAGCGAATCCATGTCCTACTGCGCTAAAATGGCGTCTCATGTAGCCAGCAGAATAGCTGCTCATTACCGCGTCTGTCTCGACTGCCAGGGTCGGAGTAAAGCCCGTGTCGAATTCGGCACTGTTGATTTCGAGGGGGACGTGTGATTGCGCTTTCATCACCTCGAAATCATTCGGGACGTCAAGTAGAGAAGGATGCGCGACTGTCCCGACGGTAATTGTATTGTTTTGAACCAGGCGGACGGTGTAGAGGCCTGGGTTCATTTAGAATCGTTTGACAGACATTCCAGGGGACTTGCCGCCAAAACAATACCCAGTCGCTGCTATTTGCTTGACGCCTTGCGCTTTGAGGGCATTGATCACCGAAAGGAGTGGGGGAGTTGTCTGCGCTTCGCCGTGGTTGGCTATCCATTTGGTGACATTGCCGCCCTTGGGAATGGCGTCACCGTTGAGATAGTCGGGAGCGTATGTCTGTCCCGTTTATTTGAAGTCAAAAAGATACTAAACTAAACTTGCCGCATATCCTGCTGCTGCGAATTCGTCCGCCAGTAAAAGATTATCCAGACTAGGCAAGCCGAACACGTCTGTGAGGAACAGAACTGCCTGGGTAGAGTCGTATGCTTGAGGTAAGGATACATAGGTCAAGACTCCGTTTATAGTGACATTTTTCCCTTGAGGAAGCGGAGCGTTGACGACGGGGGAGTGGAAATGGGCCTCTGCTTCGGCCTGAGGGACTATAATGCCTCGTACAGTCGCAGCAACAAAGCAGATGAGCGTAAGAAGATGCATGAGAATTCTGCATTTCGTGTGTGCAGGTGCGGCCTGAAGAGGAAAAGCATCCGGCCACTATTCCCAGGAGACTTTATTTCAGTGATCTGTGACCGCGTACAACGGAATCGCAAAATAATCGAGTTTTTTCGGAACCAGACGGTCCACCGGTTGCAACATTGGTTTCTGACGTGTTTTCTGGGCAAATGGCACGCTCCCAGGCCCCAAAAAAGAAGGATTAGCCCACCGCGAGGGTCGAACTCGCAGCCTTCAGATTACGTAAGCCGCCTTTGTTACAAACTTAAAAGTCTGACGCTCTATCCGATTGAGCTAGGCGGGCTTGAGATCAAGGTGTTCAGCTACTGTCATACCCTGCCCTCACTGCTGTGACGGGCTGAAGGGCAAACGGGGTCTCCATGAAGAAAGATGCCACGAGGAGAAGGAAGCTGGGAGCCGGAGTGGAGGGAGGCAAGGATGGAATAGGATGTGATGGTCCGATGTAGTGCGAGGTGTGATTGTACTGGGTGAGGTGAGACGGCGGTGTCAATGATGTCGAAGCCGATGCGGAAGAAGACGCGGTCGGAAGGGTTGTTGAACGGGTCGAGATCGTGCTCGAGGGTACCAACTGATGGCCTGTTTGAACCGTGTGAGATAGAGCCTGCGATGACATGAATTTGAAACAGACGACGGGATTGATGTACATACCCTGAGTGAACGAACCCTCCAGCCTGCTTGCCGCGGCCGCGTCTTCGTTAGCCAACACGCGATATTGCGCTGTTAGCTCCGCCAAAGAACGGCATAACCGCCAAGTCCCTGCAGTTCCTGCAGTTCAGCCCACAACTCCGTGACTCGTGAGCAGTGGCCTGACATCGAGACTGTAAGGTTGTTGGTTGCAAATGCCGTCTCGGAAGTTGGCCGCATAGGTGTGGTGGATACGGCTCTCCAAAGTTGATGTCCTCACAATGGTGAGGAATTGCAAAGAATAACCACCTTCTCCATGAAAGGCCCAAAGGAAATTATAAGACTTGAGGAATCGACGGTGAGTAAGTAGCACCCATCCGTCCGGGTGCGTCGAGAGCTGTAGCGTGGGTGGTGAAAGCAGGGGTGTCGTCGTGAGTGAGGGCCGTGATCCTGGTAGCCGTGTGCAGATGGGGCAAAAGAGCGGACGGTCCCGAAAGGACTGCTGTCCGCTGTTGGTCCTCCCATCGGTGTCTCGCTGCGCGTTGGGTGGGCGCCGGAATCTGCACCCCTTGCGGGCCTCCCCCGTTACTCCCACCACCAGGGCATGTGCCGCCAAAACCACCAACGCAACCACCTTGCCACCCGCGCCGTAACTTCCACCGCCGCTGTCTGCTCTCCCAGAATAACCACCCTGCTGAATGTGCTCCCATCATCGTACGGCCCGGAATACATGACTGTGTCGTCACGAGGTAGGTTTGTTGGGACGTGGAATGGCTCAAACGAGGCTCCACCCGGCGTCCCACGTCTGCTCTCAGTTAACATGCCTCCTGCAGGTCCGTATTCCATCTTCCGTGCAGCATGGGTGAAACGGGTGCGGAGGGCGCTCCTACATGCACTTTACTTGGCCGGAAGACCAACAGAACCAGTGCTCCAGCTTAACTCCAAATGACCAAGGTTGTGCATGAGGAAAGAGTCTGAGAGGTGCTTCTCGATGTTATCAGAGAGTTGGGGCGGGGGGAGGCCCGACCATTCTCGCGCTATAACGGTGCGTCATCGATGTCCGCGGAAGAGCTGTTGGACGCGTCGAGATGGTGCTCCGGCTGAGAAACACGATCCCGTCAACACAAGATACTGTCTTCGCTCCAAAGATGTGTGCTGGCAGGAAGGGTTTTTCGGCCCAATTGAACCATTTGAGGCTGGTGGTGTATAGACCCTGCAAACTTCAAAGGGCCGGGATGCACTGAAAACAGACGACCCAAATGAAGATTTGGGGGAATGGGACGCCGGTGGCCGTTGTAAGCCTGAAGGAGAGGAGGCTTGAATGGACCCTCCAGCTTGTCTGCCTCGGCCACGGCTTCGTTAACCAACACGATTAGCTCCGCCAAAGCGCGGTATAACCACCAAGCCCTGCAGTGCACTAAATCCGCCACCGCCTTCGCACTGTCCTCAACGCCGTGAGCGGTGACCCGACATCGAGGTTGTTGGTTTCAAATGCCGTCTTGGGCCGCATAGATGTGGATACGTTTCTCTGAGTTGATGTCTTCACAATGCGCGTGTAGGTCGCGGACGGTGAGGAAGACGGGAGCGGGGACCTTGGCGAAAGCGGCCCAGTCTGTCGCGTTCCTATGGGGCTTTAGTGTTGGCATTGGGTATACTCATTGGTACTTACGTCGGCGCGGCCATGGGGCGAGCAAGACGCGTGGAAACGACGCGTAAAAGGATGAGAATAATCGGGAATGTTGGTCGGAAACAGTTTGGTCCTTGTCTCGCAAACAAGACTTTCTCGGAGTGAAGACAATCACGATGGATGTCGCCTTCCCTTGGTACCGCTGATGCGTCCCAGCCTAGTTTGGTCCGTGCCTGTCCGTGCTTGTGCCGCAAAAACACAGTGAAATCAACCAGATGGCACTCTTCGTCTAGTTTCCCGCAGTCGGACTGTAGTATCTCCTCTTTGAGTCGTTACATCTTTCCCATCTTGCGATTTTGGAATAGCTTGAAAAATGGCGGCAACATGGCGGAGGACAAGCGGAGGATCGTCTCAAATGACGTTACTTCCAAAGTTGGCCAGAAAAGCACGTGGGTCAGCCAATCCACGTTCGAATCCTTTGGTGTGCTTCCAGTGGTGGTCAAAGCGCCCCATTGCGCGTCTCTGAGCATACAAACAAATAGGATGCGTTGGCCAGGAGATTTATTGAGAAAATAAATGAGCAAGTCTATTTCGTTGCCGCGCAATTGACGCGTCTGTTCGGATCTCGTGTGAAGCCGGCTCGACACGTCGGATGGCCCCAAAAAATCTTTCCTTTTACCATCATGTCTCTGCCCCAGCCCGTCCCGCCATCCTGGAAGGTGTGTGTTCCGTTTCCCCGGCCTTTCGCCTCTAACATGCTCTTCTTAGGATCTTGGAAAGTCCTCCGGCGACCTGCTGCAGAAGGACTACCCCTTCACGGGCACCGCGCTCGAAATCAAGACCAAGACGCCTTCGAACGTCACCTTCAAGGTCGCCGGCAACCGTGCCTCCTCCACCTCTGTCATCGTCGGTGACCTCGAGGCCAAGCTCGTTGACAAGAAGCACGGGCTCACGATCACCAACACCTGGACGACCTCTAACGTGCTCAAGAACTTGGTCGAGGTCGACAACCAGATTGCGCAGGGTCTCAAGGTTGACTTGGCTACCTCACTGGCACCAGCCAAGGAGGGTGGCAAGGGCAACAGGAGCGCCGTCCTCAGTGCCATCTACAAGCAGAGCGGCTTCCACTCGCGCGCTTTCCTTGACGTGCTCAAGGTACTTTTGTCTTAGTTTCATTTTTCCTGTCTAACAACTCTGCTAGGGCCCCACTTTCACGGCCGACACTGTCATTGGACGCGACGGGTTCCTTCTTGGTGTCGAGGCGGCGTATAACGTCACCGAGGGCAAGATCAACCGTTACGCGCTCGCTGCTGGCTTCAACGCGCCCGAATACGCTGTCACCCTGCACGCGTTGAACGACCTCAAGTCCTTCTCCGCCAGCTACTACCACCGTGTCAGCAAGGACGTCGAGGCCGGCGCCAAGGCTGTCTACGACCCCAAACTCACCAACGGTGGTGTCGCCATTGAAGTTGGCACCAAGACGTGCGTGTTTTGGATCCTCTTTTTGCCCAGCTAACCGTGCAATGCAGCTACCTTGACAATGCTGCTTTCGTCAAGGCCAAGATCAACAACGCCGGTGTCCTCGCTCTTGGTTAGTCTTAGTCTCTTACTTTTTGATCCATCCGATTGACAATTTCGTCAGGATACACTCAATCTCTGCGCCCTGGTCTCAAGGCCTCCTTTGGTGTCGCCGTCGACACACAAAAGCTGAACGAGGTTGACCCTGTTGGCCATGTCCACAAGGTTGGCTTGAGCTTCGTTTTCGAGTCGTGAATTGGATGGTGCGCGACGTTGCGGGTGAGAACTAGATAAAATAATGTCCATACCTACAACAGACTGCAATCTCATTGGCGACCTCTGTACATTCAATTTCGTTCGTTCTTTCAGAGATAGATGAATAGGAGAAGTGTATAAACAGGTCAATGGCCGCGCTGGGCTTTGTCCAGGACTGCATGGGGTTAAATCGACTTTGGAGACGGCCAGGAATAGCGAGGACGCACCAGCTTCGTGGGCAATCTCGCTAAAGTCTGTTCCCTGTATCTCCAAGTGGATTCCGACAAGTGAGCGACGAAGAGCGTCTTTGGACGACGCGAACACCATCTTTGCCTTGATCTTGGCGTCATCGGGGGCCCTGGCGTCTTGTGAGAGGTAGCTTTGAGGATAACCACTGTTGTGCGCACCAAGAGTAGAAGACGATCTTGTTCCTCTTCCCCGCACCCTCCTTCTCAAATTCAAGATCGTAGACGGCCCATCTGCACTCTGTCTCGGGCAGCTCCTTGATAAAGTCCTCGTAGTCGGTTGACGTAGACGTCTTGCCGACGACGATCTCGGTGTTGTCGGCGTTCAAGGTGAAGACGATGTACTTGTACTTTTTCTTGAGCTTGAGGTCGCTGAATTGTTCGAGACAGTCGGGGTTGACGGCGACGCCGGAAGCCTATGGGCGCGATTAGGGTTTGCATGGGCGGGCAGGAGAGCACTCGCCATGGATGGTCGTGTGGAGGTTGAGAGTAGACTTAAATGTGGCTGTAACTAGCCGAGATCGGTCGGATAAGGCTGCTAACTCTGACTTTATACAAGTCAATTGTTGCGCAGCATTTCTGCGCCCGCGGGCTCAAACGACCGCGGAAGCGCAGGCCACTGCGCGACTGTTGAATAGATACTAGCTGCTACATGAGTACAGGATTAATTACAATAAATTAGTTGGTTCATGAGTGAGGAGGTATAGACTCGCGCTGGCAACCGCCAGGTAACAAGAACTTGAAGCGTTCGGCGTTCTCAATCAGAAAGAGTGGTAAGCCAACAGCAGTCGTCAACCTGTTTCCATGGTCAGGACAACAGCAGATTGACAGCAAGCGCTTGACTTACGGTTCTAGACTCATTTGCGAGAAGAGGTCCAGATACTGCGCGCTTGTGAACAATCGGACAAAGACGGGGAGCAAAGATAACGCACGTTATAAGCTTCAGGCAGCATCCCGAATATATCCTTGCCCTTGCATATCGTGTCCTGAATCCGTTTGGGCTCCAGGAGGTCG